CATATCCTTATCATTACTAGAGGCCAAGTAGTCTAACCATGCTTTCTTCTTCTTCTTTACAGCTTCTTTCACTTCATCATTCCACCATGCATCTCTTCTTTTACTACTGCCTCTTTTTATTGTTCCACACACTTCTTCCGCTGCACTTACCATTCCATCCCTAAGGTTCTGCCATGTTCTTTCTACACATTCGTTTCTGCCATCGATGGTGTCAAGCCTACGGCAATGCGCAAGATTTCCCCGTGAAGTAACGAGCCGAGATTACTAGTGACTAGATTCCTTAGTCGAAACAGCTAGAAGGCGTGCCTTATCTTGGTCACTATGGAAATTATGAAACAAATCTTTCTACTCGCCCTGTACCAATAAAATATCTCACTGTTATTATTAGTTAACTTCCAGTAGAATATTTTCACCAGGACAGTGCGTTTTCCATGTCTGTCTTGCCTTCGTAGCAAAGCATAGGTCCACTTTATTATTTAAAATTATGTAACATAAGTCACTAACACTATGCACGGAAGCAAGGAAAGCAGGCAATGCAACGCTAGAAAGGTTTCTTACACCAATACCACCAAATTTTATAGGTAAAGTAGCTTGAGTCCAGGCTGTTGTATTTAAAGTTAAATTTAGAAATTTTTCTATAGCTATTTTAGGATTATTATCAATATCTTTTAAAATATCCAAACATTTCCAGACTGGACTCGAGCGGAGTAAGTATGTTAATCTAGGTACAAGTAGAAAATATTTTAAAATAGAAAGAGCTATGGGGGGTTTAATTTATACAATTTATCAATGTGGTTTAAAAAATAATCAAATTTTGTTTTTAAAACAGGTTTAATACTATCGAAAAACAACGGGGCACCTAGCAGGCATAGTGATTCCGTACTGACAGTTTTTATTCCTGGACAAATATGATAGAAATTTTGAATTAAAATGTCTCTATGAGAAGTAGATAAATTATTGGAAAAAAATATTTCACATTTATTGCTATTTGTTTCAAAACCAATATTTTTGAAATTTCGAAAAATATGAGTAAGATCACTGATGACGTCATCTGCTCTACCTCCCAGTGTACCGTCGTCTAGGTACCAGACATTCAGCTTGGATTTCAAATTTGAAATAATGGGTTGAATTCCCAAACTGAATAGTGCTGGACCCAGTTGGTCACCCTGCTGAACACCGACAGCAGAATCGATAACATGGTTTTCGTAAAACAAGTTAGTATTTTGACTATAACATTGCCAAACTTAATGATAAATTTCAGGGGTATTGTTAGCCACTACTTTCAGCAAGGTTACCCTATCGATAGAGTTAAAAGGTCAAGTTTGTTAAAAATGTACGCACTGAATGTACCGCCGCCTCACAGCCACCTCTGGTGCCAAAGCCTAGTTGAGTAGGCTGAAATTTGGTTTTAAGTTTAGAGATTTTGTGCCTGCAAGCTAATTTTGAAGTTAAGCGTCGAAATGTGGTACCAACGGCAATAGGACGGATACCGTTATCCTTTTTTTGAAGGCACATAATCTTGCCCCATATAAGAACTCCACGTACCATGGGTTGGGGGCTTCCTTTGAGACTAAAAGTTCTGAGAATATCAACGATTTATCGAGAATTTTGTATTGAGATCATTCAAGTCTACTTTACTTTTAATTTTTTCTATGATCTTGCCTGTGTATTACTTAAATAGTTTGCTGGGCACATCATGCTGCACAACATCAATAAGATATCCTCGCACTGTTAATGCTTCATTACCAATCTATCTAATATAAGTTCAGCGCTCTTAGGTGAATTTTTTCATCGATTTTTGGCCCAAGTTTGATTGTTTTTTATACAGTAAGGCAAGGAGTACAAAAGAGCACTATGTCTACCTGATAGTAACTAAATGTTGTGGCCTGTGGCCTACACAAAGTTTTCACTGTCGTAAGAGGCTAAAACGGGAAAAAAAATCCCAGGAGATGAGCAGCACCGTTTTTCTAATAATAACTAAAAATAAAAAAACTGCGGTTGCCAACCCGCTTGCCGAGCGTGGAAACTATGAGAAATATCTCCATAAGAAAATAGAGCTCATCGCGTTCACGACCTATACTAGTTGTTTAAAATAATTTAAAAAACAATTGCTTGTGTTTATCTACGAATATGATGAATTATAAATGGTCGTGTGTATGGTGACAGAAGAGAATCTATCACCCTATTTTCGAATGATCCCGAGGTTATCGTAGGATGAAACTTTATTATATGTCTAACAGATCTTATGGCTACCAAAAGATGGCTGTATAACTGCCATCATCATTTCAGCTGCATAATGAATGAGATAGAATGTTTTAACTGATAAATGTTATTATACAATTAATCATTATTTAATGGACAATTTAATGACATCATTTGCGATTCTTTCTAAGAATAAGGTGGTGTGTGCACATACATTAGAAACAGAAGAACTTATAATTAAATAGCAAGTTTTAATGATAATGACGCTACGTGAAACTACGCAACAAATAAGTTAGCCTTAAATAAGTTTCCCTCAGCTAGGGTTACAAGATGAAAAAATTAAAAGTTCCGAGAAGAGGCCTGATTTCCATTTAAAAATCCAGAGATTTTTTTACAGTTTGAGAAGAAAACCTTACTTAAAAAGTTATCTTCGCATATAAGGTATGATAAAACTGTTAAAGTACCTACTTGGATAAATAAGTTTTGATTTTAATTGTGGTATTATTACCAAAGGAAAATTATTTTTACTTTGTTTAATTTTTTATTAAAGAGATCATTGAAATGTAAGCTGTATTATATTGAAAGTTCTAAAAATCCTGAGATTTCACGAGATTTGCAAAATCCAGCCGCAATCCTGAGAAGAGTCTAAAAATCCTGAAATCTCAGGACAAATCCTGAGATATGGTAACCCTGCCCTCAGCGAGCGTAAGATTATTAACTCTCATTAAGACAAATCTTTCTTACGTTGGTAGAGTTCCAGGTCCACCAGATGATAATAATAATAATAATGATTTATCTCCAATCACAATGGTACATAAAATTAAAACTAATCACGTTTTAATTATCTTCAATTATCTTGTTTCTATGATTTAATCATTGCAACATTTGACCTTTGTCAGAGTGCGGAACCTGTACTAGGATACACTGTGTTACAGTATTCTTCACTGACTTGAGATGACATTTACGGGCTGATATAGAAAAAGTAAAGAAGATGGTTGTCAAAATAATAAATACTGCAGGCTGAACAAAAATATGACGTCCTTAATAAAAGACATTTAATGATGGCTTACAAAGAAAACAAGATGCCCTACAAAACTTTATCTCAAACACTTTTTGCATCAATTAAATTTACTGTTCACTTTGGCTGATGAGCGTTTGTCTGTGAAATACAAATGAGCACGACAGCTACTTGATGGTACAAAAATTAGAAATTTATTAAATATTATTTTGGTGGATCAGCGGCTAAGCGCTCGCTGTACATTTTACACTACGCAGGCACCCCGGGTTCAATCCTCGCTGGCACCAATGAGATTATTTGCAATTTTAATTGCTAATTTACTACGTCCACGGCGGTGAAGGAAAACATCGTGAGAAAACTTGCAATCTTAGAAATTAAATATTTGAGAATACATAAAGTCTACCAACACGCACTGGTGTAGCAATATGTTATTTATCAGATATGCTAGTTTCATCACGATGTTTTCTTTTACCGCCGATCATATTAAATGCTCGGCGGTAAAGGAAATACTTCATCGGCACTTAAAATTGCATCTGAAAATTTAATTGGTGTCCACTGACACCCGGGTTCGATCCCAGTGGGGATCGAACAGTCGCTCGCGTACTGTGATATTTTCAGTGAGCACTTGGCCACTAATATCACGACGGATCTATATGTATGTTCTAAATCCAGTGCTTATGTCGTATTATGTCACTTTGTCAATATTATAGCGGCATTTGCAGATGTTACGCAAACAGTTGAAACAGTAAGATCCCTTTTTTAATACAATTAGGGTGACAAACGATCACAAGGTCCACCTGATGGTAAGTCGATGCTGTATCCCATAGACCTTGTTCATGGGGTCCATGTATCCTCAGTAAGTAATGAAAATACAGATGCGTTGTCAAAACTGAGGACTAAAATGGAATGCCTAATCACCAGTACAAACGGTTTCCAGTTCTCTACAGTCGCCATTCAAACCTATTTTACGCTGGTATCCTGTGAGAGCATGTCGAGCCGATACATTCGTGCTACAACTATAATAAAGCTGTAGCGTGGCTTTACCACCTATAAATTATACTCCCTCCTTGTCCAAGATATTATTACAATGTAGTCTACGCTTTTCGTCGTCGTAGCCATCACAAGGTTCCAAGCTCCAACCACAAAAAAAAGATATGTGTTGTTTATAGATATAGTCTCTGTCAACATACCAAGTCAACTTCATTACGTATTTTTGTGCATCAAAGCCATCATTGTGTTTATAAGTTTATTTCAAATAATGTATTATTCGATAGATACTGTAATGAAATGTAATAGTATTTTGTGTATAGTGCACGGTAGTGTAAGTGGACGACATTTTTATGTCAAAATAACAAGAATTAGCAGGATAAAAAAGATCCGTAAGAAGCATGGCGCAGCGGAAGCGTGATGAACATAACAGGTAAAACTGTTAAAATAAATTGATTTATAATCAGGGAAAAAGCAGGTGAGTGAAAACATCATGTATCGTAAGGATAGCAGATTTTAAAAGAAAAATATACATAATAGTAAAAAATATGTACCATAAACAAATCAGGAGAGTATGAGTATAAGGATAGGTAAGAAATACATTTCCGGCGGATATATCAATTAGGAAATTTTGTTAAGTAAAAAGTTACTTAACAAAACAAACTCATAAAATAAAAAGTAACCGTTACCGGTACAACTTGAGTTGCTTCCGCAAATTAAAGTGAACTACAAAGTTCTTTTTTATTATCAATATTTCAAATATTCGCACTCGCGTTTAGTTTTTCTTGCTAAAATGGGGAAGAGGAAAAGTTCTGATAATTCCGACAAAATTAGAAAGAAGATTAAGAAGCTAGAAAAGAAATTGAGGAAGAAAGAAAATCGTGAAAGCTCTAAAGAGAATACTCCTTCGTTAGTGGATTTATCTATGCCTAATGTAACAATTGCAGAGTCATTAGAGGAAAATACAATCGAAGAAGTTCAGATGGAAGGTCAAACAAACGCTTTAGGTGAGTTTCTTCTTATGAGACATTAAAATACACACAAAGACATAAATAGAAAATACTGCTAGAATATAGTAAATGCCAGTTATCTGTTTCGAGGTCTAAGGGCTATTAATTACCCATCAGTGAGGATAACTATGTCATATCTTATCCCTTAGAGCTATTACCTTGAGAATAGACAGGGAAATAAATCTTTTAGAGCTATCACATTGAGGATAGACAAAGATTTTTTATAACGCTATTAGATAGAAGATAGACATGAATCATGGTACTTTCTTTTATATGTGACATAAAATACAAATAGAAGAACACAATATAAGCCCTAACAATACTGCTAGGATAAAGAAAATAGCAGGTGTCTATTCAGATGACTAATACTATCAGTGAGGATAAACATGTCATATCCTTTCCCTTAGAGCTATCACATAGAGGTTAGACAGGGAAGTAATTAAATCCTTTAGAGCTATCACATTGAGGATAGACAAGGTTTTTTGTAGCGCTATCATATTGAACAATTAATTCATATCAAACTTACTTGGTAATATAATAAAACAAATTTATATATAAATATAAATTTCAGACAATGATGACTTCCCAGAGGAGCTTTTATTAGCCTTGGGACCAGAAGGAGAAGAATAGAAAGAAGTGGGAGAGCAAATAAACATGCAGTTAGCAACAAGATGGACAAAAATTATGATGAAAGGATTGGGGAAAGAACCTCGTGATAAAATATTAAACAAGTTAACAACAACTCCGTCCCACTTCAAAGCTGTTATAGCGCTTCAAATGAATCCAGAGATAAAGGCATCATTGTCGGAAATACTAATTAAGAGAGATAAACGTTTGGTAAGTAGACAAAATATGACGGGAAAAATAATGACAGGAATCGGGTTGGTACTGACAAATATCATCAAAGGGAATATAAATACAAATGATATAGTGGAACAATTAAGTGACACTGCAAATATAGCAGCAGAAATATTCTACGAAGACTCGGCTGCAAGAAGATATTTCGCTTTGTCAGAGGCAACCATAGTACTGAAAGAAGCACTGAAGAATGCAAAGACAGATGAATTGTTATTTGGAAAGAACTGTCCCGAGAACATCAAAACAGCACAGACCGTCCAAAGAACAGGAGCTCAGATAAAAGCGGTAGAGAAGAAAAAGACAGTCCCAAAAAAGGGAAACTGGAAGAGTCCACTACAAGTTCAACATTTCAATCGCAGTGGACAGAATTATCGAGTATATCCCACAAACAGAGATATCGTCCCAGTCACCCACTACGGAGAAGGACTCAACACACAGGAGCCCCACCAGCTCAGACAAGGAGAAATTACCGTCATTAGAGGTAGGTAGGTACTGGGAAGTTAAAACAATGTCTAAGTAAATGGTTAGATATTACAAATGACCCAGTCTTAATAAACTGGATAAAGGGTTATAAAATACCCTTTACTCAAATACCAAATTTATATGAGGCACCCACCCAATGCTGATCTGGAAGGGAAAGAAATATAATATACACAGATATCCAGAAATTATTAGAAATAGGTGCAGTTTCAGAATGTTTGTTTGTGAAGGGCAGTTTGTATTCCCAATATTTGTTATTCCAAAACAGAATGGAAATTATAGGTTTATTTTAAATTTAAAGAAATTAAATGAATACATTGAGACTTCTCATTTTAAATTAGAGAATATTAGGACAGCTTGTGAATTAATTTCCAAAAATTGTTTCATGGCGAAAATTGATCTCAAAGATGCCTATTTCAGTATAGCCATTTCAGAAGATTCAAAGAAATTCTTAAGATTTAGATTTGAGGGGAAATTGTACCAATTTAATTGTTTACCATTGGTATTTGCTCTGCTACCTTTGTGTTCACCCAATTAATGAAACCAATTTGTACCTATCTTAGAAGTAAAGATATCATTTTATCATGTTACTTAGATGATAGCATATACTTTAACTCATGTCAGTTAAAATGTAGAGAGAATGTAACACTAGCATGTAGTTTATTTCAAAAATTGGGATTCTCAGTAAATTTTGATAAAAGCATTATAACTCCAAAACAGACCTGTAAATATTTAGGCATTATTCTAGATTCAAGAAATCTATCCTTATCTGTTCCAAAAGAAAAACCATTGGCCATATTAGAAAATATTAGAGATTTTGAAAGGAAAAGCCATTGTAAGAGTAGGGAATTTCCACAATTATTAGGTAGGTTAACATCAGTTTGTCCAGCCGTACCCTATGGTTGGGTTTATACGAAGTTATTAGCGAGAGAGAAATTTCTAGCATTATTAAAATGTTAGGACAATTACGATAAACAAATGTCTATACAAATCATATCCATCCAGAGCTAGAATGGTGGAAATCAAATATCCACAAGCAAAATTACATTAAACAGCAAAAATTTTGCATAGAGATCCATACGGATGCCTCAAAAACAGGCTGGGGTGCAGTGAAGGGATCGGAAAGAACTTCAGGATCTTGGTCGACTAGCGAAATGAAATGTCATATAAATTATTTGGAATTAAAAGCAGCATTCCTAGGTCTGCAACGTTTTGCCAAAAATTACAAAATTAGTAATTGTGAGATCTTGTTACGAGTTGATAACACAACAGCAATAGCATACATAAACAAGGTGGGGGGAGTACAGTATATTCATTTAAACAATATTACAAGACAGCTCTGGCAATGGTGTAAGGTAAGAAGTATATGGGTCTATGCCTCATATATCAATACTAAAGACAATGTTGAGGCAGACTCAGAGTCAAGAAAAATAAACATAGAATGGGAATTATCCCAACAGGCTTTTAATAGGATTGTTGAAAAATTTGGTTACCGTGAAATTGACCTATTTGCATCTAGAATTAATAATAAATGCAAAAAATTTGTGTCATGGAAGAGGGTAGATGCATCTACCTTAAAATGGGAAAGATATTTTTTATGCTTTTCCACCATTCTCCCTAGTTCTTAAATGTTAAATATAATATAATAAAATTAAAAAAGATAAAGCAACAGGAATTGTAGTATTTCCTTATTGGCCTTCTCAACCATAGTTTTGTTAAAAGGCCTCTTGGTGAATGAATTGTTGTTATTGAATCCCAGTAGTATGTTATTATCATCTCCTTACAGGAAGTCTCATCCTCTCCATCGGCAGTTTACCCTGGCAGCAGGGCTATTGTCAACGAAGCATACATAAGACCATACACAGGATCCTTGATATAGATCCATACCAAGCTTCAGTCCCCTTTATCCTTAAATTTTTAAGTGAACCTTTTGATGCGGGAGCATAATTATTGATGAATTTTAGTCTAATATAAATATTATGTCCTAATACTACTAATAAAATGTCCAATTAATAATAAAATAAATGTCAAAAGAATAAATACGAAGTACAATGTCACACAATCGTTTATAAAAATGTCAAAATATACTCGTAAATGTTCACATGTAAAAAGAGTAAAACCAATCAACCAATAATTATTCTATCGAAGTCTTATATTATTAACTCACAGCAAAAAATTCAAGCAATTTAGATACAAATATTAAATATGTATTTTTTTTTATTTTTATGATCAAGATACTCAATAACTGTATAAAAACAATTAAGTAAGAGCCATTCGTGAAGTTTGTTTTTTAACTTTGTCATTGGGAAATTTTTAAACTCGTCGGGTAAAGAATTAAAGATTTTAATCGCCATTATGTACGAATTTTTTTGAAAGAACATCAATTTACATTACAAGGTATATCCTGTTATTAGATTTTTCTCTGAAACTTCTATCTCTTAAAAAAATATTACTTGGGAAGTATTCAGGAAATTGCTTGACAAAAATCGCAGCAGATTTCAGAAAAGATTTTATACATTCCAAGAACTTTTCTATGTTATCTTTCGTAAAGTCTCTTTTTTCTTCAAGCTAGTATTTTACTGTTTTACTTACTTTTATAGAAAGCTCCAGTATTTGTCGCGTGTCGTCAGAGAGGCCCAAATAATGTATAGAACCTTTTGCTTGTGTAACATTACTTATTAAGTGATCAATACATGAATTAATTCTGGTTGGGAAAGTTATGTGATGTGTTATGTAAAAATTTTGTAATATGTCTTTAAACTCTTTAAAGTATTTACTAACCTTCAGTGTGTCTATATTTAAGTCTCCTGCAATGATTATTCGTTTTTTATTTTCTTTTGATAGTTTTAATAATAATTTATTTAATTTTTCGAAAAATATATATATGTCGGAATTTGGTGTTCCATATATGCATAAAATTATAAGATTAAAGTTACTGATTTCAATTCCGCAACATTCAAAATATTTTGTCATTTCATATTCTTTCGTAATCATTGAATCATTATAATTTATATTTTCTCTTATAGAACAGTAGAACTGGAGGTTATTTAATTTTTTTTCTTTAAAATAAAAACGTTACCCACACACTAGGATTTTCTCCTGTATCGTGGAGGCAGTTTACAAACACAAATTGCACAAGGACAAACATCCAGACCCGTAACAATTATTTGTAGGCCATACAAATACTTGTTCCGTGCGGAATTCGAACCCGCGGCCCCCAGTGCAGGAACTCATTGCTAAACCACTGCGCCACGGAGCCATAATAAAGTATTTGTTCCTTTTTCTCCGGGATCAGAGAAATGATTCATGATTACAGTTAGTTGCAGAAATCAGAGAGCTAATATAGCCAACCTTCCATCAGGTAGGTTATTGGTTACGAGATAGTTAGTGTACTAGCAGTACGGATTCAGAAGTGGCGGCACACCATAATGACTTAAGAACAGAAAAGTGGTTGGAATCTATCCATGTGGATTTCCAAACAAAACCAGAGCCCTACAATCTAGAAATGTTAAATAATATTTAACAAGGCGCAAGATTTAAAATCTATTAGTTCTTGTAAGGAGAATCCATTTTCAGTACTTGCCTTTTATATCTGAACCCTTATTTTATTTAACAGAATACAACAATTGCTCTCCATTTACTGCGGTTCAAAACGTCTAGAGTTATTGCATTAGTGCAACGAGCACCGAGGGAAACGAAAATAGTAACCGTGTCTGCATTTGTAATTGATTGACTTATAAAACTAAAAGGATTTAAGATATTTTCTAAGTTTTTTTTTAAATATTCTTCGACTTTAAGTGGATTGGCGGTAGTCATACGATCTCCTAATTTATTTTTTTAACATTGGAGATACAAACGAACTTTCAATGCATTTAATCAGTTTCACAATCTGACGTGTGGTTGGGGACATAAAGAATACATCACCCCATTAAGTCTCAAGGGTGTCGTAAGAGGTGACCATGAAGAATGCCGCAGATATTTTCTTAATGATTTAAATGAAATGGTTATACCCTTAATAGCCAATTCGGTTACATCAGAAGTCGAATACTTTGACTGGCGACGGGTAGCATCATCAAAGTGCGACATGTCTCGTACTACGAACATCAATCCACCTGCCTTGTTAGACGATTTAAGCAAATCTCTCCCAACAAGGCGAGAGAACTATTTCCAGCAGTGGACATATATAGGCCGATAAATAAAAATTTAAATTAAAGAAGGCTAACGGCTGATGGCGCTTTAAACGCTCAATGGTTAACAGTACAAAAATCACAGAAACATGATGAGAGCAGTTT